AAATACTCCTACCAATAAATACAGTCTCCGTACCCAGTAGCCATATATTGTTATTTCTTATTGGTATTATGTGCGAGCATATAGTATCCTAGTACTTTAGTAGGATACTAGTACCTTAGTATCCTACCCCGGTCGGACCGATCCTATCAACTATACTAAACTAAAAAAGAAAGACTAATTAATAAAACTGATTAACTTTTATTTAGTTTTTGTAATAGGTACGTATTATTATGAAAAAAGGCCAATGGAAATTTTTATCATCACCGTCCGTTTGTGTGTGGTAACAAATAGTATGTGTTTTTAAAATAACTCAAGGCCGACTAGACGAAATTATTTAATTATTTTTCACTATTTTTAATTTAACATTAATAATTAAGCTGAAGGTAAACCGCGTTTACTAACATCAGGACGTTGAACGCGTCTGTCTTACTTAAAATACTCCATAGAATACGATTTCAAAATAGGATATAATAATAAACGCATAAAATGGTTTTCATGAAATGGTTGTAGGTTGTTTCCTGATTTTTTAATTGACTAATATTTTTTAATCGGTTAAGTAGTTTCTATGTTAAATCGATTTAAAAAATCATACAGGCTGCCTGATTAACATAATATAATTTTGATAGAACACCTACATTATTGAATTTATGTTTGCCATAAATTAAATTACGGTGTGTAGTATACGAAGAGCCATTAAGTGAGTCTCGTGATCGACGCAGCGGGCGTCCCTGGATTCAAACTGGGAGGATCACGTTTACCCATCACAAAATTCTTGACTGCTGAATTACATATCGTAGCATGCTAAACATGCCTCGATATTTAATTGAGCACTTTTGCAAAAGGAAAAAACAAAAAAAAAGTTGTTAGAACCCTAAAACTCATGTTTACAAATATTTGTTTCAAAGTTGTGTAGTGTTTTGTAAGAGGAAAATACTTAATAATATATTATGAAATTGTTTATTGCTAAGGGAAGACATGGTAAGTTAATATTTTATTGATGTGTGAGATATATAAAGTTAAGGACGGTAGGAATAATAAATCTTAGGTCTGACATAATATGAAGAAGCAAAAACAAATCCATAAAACAATACGCAACGTTCTGTTAACGGGGTCTCGTAAACAAGCTTTAAAAAACACTTTTTAATACACGAATGAAATAGTTTTATTTGTGATTTGGCTTGTTAATTTTTTTTTGTTTACCCTGAGTTGAAACTGGCAGACACTATAATACGGAGACGGTAGAGGTTCAGCGATCGGAAAAAGACTGGCGCGCCACGGGAGCTGGAGGCAATGCAGCCTTTAAATGATGACAAGAAAATTAGAGGAAATCTATGTTATCAATCATTATTGATGAATAAGGGTGTTCTCTAGTACGTACGTAATAGCAGCTTAACGTTGCTGCGTTTCATATAGTGAGTGTAGGGAACCGGATACCCTTTTTACTGGAAACGTGGCATTCCATCTAAGTTGATAAGTATTTGGTTTCTAATTGTATGTAAGTATTGGATTTTAAACACGATGTGGGTAAACATTAACGAAAAGTATTATACGATTACTTTTACATATTTTATAATAATAGCTAACAACTTTTGTGTTTAATCTTTAATATATATAAAAATTACGTGTCACATTGTTTGTCCGCGATGAACTCCTAAACTACTGAACTGATTTCAATGAAATTTTGCACACTGTGTGCAGTTTGGTCCAACTTGAGAGATAGGATACTTTTTATCCCGATAAGTGACCTTCAATATTTTTTTATTGCGAATTTAAGGATTTTTTCATAGGAAGGGTCGTCGGAAAGGGCAGAACAACGTCTGCCTGGCCAGCTAGTATTTATATAAGTAAAAGATATAAGTAATATTTATATATTACTAATATCTTTTATTATAAGTAATATACAAATATAATAAAATTTATATATTTATATTTAATATTATAAATATAAGAAGTAAATCTTAATATATAAATAATCTCTTCCAAATCTTTGGAAGAAATTTTGTATGTAGATAGTGTTTTATGTTGCAATTTTATCTCGATGGGTGTCATCCCTGAGAAAATTTATATTCTTTCTAACGCCGAGCAAAGCTAGGTCGTCCATTAAAATAGGTAGGTATTTAATTGAGAAATTGTTACACAAAGTTATTTTGCATTCTGTTTTTTTTTCTATTTTTAAAATTCTTAGATTTCGAAATCATTCCTCAAATTTTAGTAATACGTTTGAATTTACCGCTGTTTACAAACAGTGATCAGATTAGGCAAGTGTGTTATCAAATTAATTTATTGATATGACATGGATTTTATTATTATGGTGTGCTTTGCACTTGGCGAACCTTAACATGATAACCGGTTTTTTGGTGAAGCACACTCGGGTTAGTTACATAATTCCTTCAATTTCTCCGACCCGCATAACACTTGCACAATCACTTTAATCCATTAAACGCTCTGTTTTATCTTTCCAGCTTAATTAAGTTTTCCGCCGCCCTGTGTCATTGAACGTGATCTTTGATACTCTTTAATTACAAAATAGTATGTATAAATACTCATTTAAACATTTTGAAACATTTAATGAATATTAATACGCTATGATTCATTAATTATATAGATTAATACGATAAAATAACTTTGATTAAAACACTCATTCGACATTCCTTAGATAATTAATGCATTTGTGTAATGCAAGAAAAAAACATATAAATATTCCTCTATTAAAAGCTTTGCAGAAAGCAAATACGTACTACTTTTTTTATAGGACAGGATGACAAATGAGCATACAGTCCACCTGGGTAAGTGACTGCTGTGACATCCACATCCATCCTCAATAAAGAATCAAAATGCAGATGCGTTGGCACGCGTGAGAACTAAAATGGAATGCATCAGGAGGTTTCCGGTTCTCTACACTCGCTATACGAAACACAATAATGTTAAGCTACTATTTTACGTTGGTATTCTGTGAGAGCGTGGTCCTTCCCCGGTCGAGCCGACCCATTCGTGCTACAACCATACTACTAATATATCTGCAGCATGGCTCTACTACGTATAAAATACTGCTACTAGCTGTTAATTTCTTGAATGACGGTCTGTTTTAGTGGAATTAATGCTTCAGATTTATGACACCCGATGTATAGGGTCAGAGTCGTCGCCGCGCATACAGATATGTTGGCATCACACAATTTATGACTCGATAAAACTATAGATCTAAGTAAATGTATGTACGACGCAATAATGTCAAGAATTCTTTTTTAATTTTATGCTTTATGAAAAATAGAATGGTTTTATAAAACCTTATTTATTTAAATTAAGCGTGAATTAGTTTTCAACCTAGTTTTCTTACGTAACCCACACAGAGTAAACAATGACTGACATATATATATGTTGAATATACCTTATGTATGCTAATATTTCGATAATTGATTGTGTAGGGAAGTTGGGAGCTTAAATAAGGCGCGGAAAAGCCCTTTCCCGGGCGCGGCACGTGTTGAAAGCACCCGTACGAGGGAGCGAAAGGGCGGTGTCCTCGGTACTTCCATGACCTTGTTGTATAACGACCTGCGGAAGCTTTTACTTTCTATGAAACGAGCTAAACACAAATTTAAAGTGGTAGTTCGTATATTCAATAAAAATAGTATTGAAATAAATGTCATTGCTTCCGAAAATAATGTAACATTTTGTTGGAGTACCTAAGTTAGTTGTTGATATAATTGGTGAACAGTAAAAATATTATGTTATATAAATTATAAAATAAATAAAATGAAAACTCGCAATTTCGGACTAATGTCATATGCTGTACGGTGTCTAGTTTATAACTATGAATAGATATGCTGTAAAATATCATCAGTAGTTTAGTATAAGCTTTAAATAGATGCGTCTGGTGTTGTAATCGTCAATACGCCTACTAACTGAATATATATTAAATAAAATCAAATATCACGTTCGCTTATAGTAAACAAAATGAACCGATTAAATTGAAAAACATACTATCGAACAAATATTATTGCAGTCAATAATATCACCTACATCATATTTTCCACGTATAATTTAAGATCTTTGTTACCTAACTGTTTAAATCCGTCCCTAAATCAAATTCGAAATTACATATTAAAATACCGATAAGAATTCATCGAGGCTCATTTTATGATCATAATATTCTCGAAACACAGGAGATTGCTAAACCACATTCTATTTAATGCAAGATTAGTCTCGACTGAGTCAGTTCAAGGTCACCTGTAAATGACCATAAGGTTAATAGGATCACGTTAGGCTATAAATGAAGTTTTCCTTGAGAGTTTAATTTTTTTAATAAAAGTTGCTTCCTCATAGTGTACTGCAATGAAGATCTTTTATTACTGAAATGAAAGCTTGCATCATACTATTTTTGTATCAAAATCATTCATAAATGTTGTCCCGCTTTTGTAAATATAAGGTGACAGAGTATTTGTCGTAGTCGACTTTAAATATATAAAATAAAGGACCAAATGACGAAATCTACCGTGTCAAAGATTGCAAATAATATTTGGCCTTGCTCGTGAGAGCTTTTCTCTCAATTTTGAGAAAAATAAATATTGTAACAATTATTTTTTTGTATAATAGTATTATGAAAAAAATAGCTTAACTAATAACTTCAGAAATAAACGTCCTTTAAAGAAACCTACGGCAGAACCAGTATTTTCCACATATTATTAATTTGCTTATTTATTAAAATATGAAACCAGTTACTGCTAAACAAGAAATAGAAACGAGCTAATTAAAGATGTAATGAACTTAAATAACACCATTTTAATATATTATGAAGGTAAAGACGCAAGAAAAATAGAGTTTTTAATATTGTTCTTGGGATATTTTGAATTTATTATACTTATAAGTACTTTATTTTTTAACATTGTGAACGACCTTGCAAGCTTTTTGTAAAAAAAATTGCCTGACAAGATATCTATTTACACGTGCAAAACTGTAACCGTTATATTTGTTTTAGATCCAAGATATTATAAAAGTAAACTCACTGTTTGCGCACTTCTGCGGTACAGGCAGAGACAAGAAACGTCCAGGTTTTTGCGCGGTAGCTAGCGCCGCCAGTGCAGCTGTGCATACCACCAACACCCACGTCTGCATCTATAATAGAATGATTTTATGATTAAAAAAAATTAATCTGAGGTCGTCAATAGAACATGATACTTATAAGGACAGCAGTATCATTAAAATATTAAGTACTCGTATTTAAGTGCTTCTTATACATTACACAAGTCAAAGGACTTTATTACTCTACTACTGCATATTATACACGCAGTACATGTAAAAAATGCGCTAGTTGGCATGCATTACTTGGAAGAGAAGTCCATTCTTACCACACTGGTCAGGTGAGTTTGTGAGTATTGTTTCCAACCAGCTTCAAAAAAAGGAGGAGCTTCTCAATTCGACCGTTTTTTTGTGTTACCTTAGAACTTTTTTCTATGGGAACGGATTTTGATGATTTTTTATTTATTTAGAAGCTGGTGCTTCTCATGTGGTCCCATATAAATTTGATCAAGATCTGATCTGTGGTTTTTGAGTAATTATTAATAATGCGTATTCAATTGAATTCGACTTTTTTTTATAGAAGAGGGGCAAACGAGCATGCGGCTCACCTGATGGTAAGTGACTACCGCCGCCCATGAACAACTGCAACACCAGGGAGGGAATTGTAGATGCGTTGCTGGCCTTTTAGAAAGGTGTAAGCTCTTTTCTTGAAGGTTCCTAAGTCGTATCGGTCCGGAAAATTCGCTGGTGGTAATTGATTCCACAAGGAAGTTGTGCGAGGGAGAATACTGTCTCGCTCTGCTGAGCACGCCAAGCTTTTTAGAGGCCAATTTGGCCTTCCCTTCCAAGTGACCACGAAACTGCACACTATTCGATATGTCGACGCCGAGGATTCCGATGCTAGCTGAGGCAGCAAGGGGAGTGCCTTGAAACAGGAGATACGACAAAGGGGTTCTTTTTAGCGGTAAACGCGCAAACTTATGTCTTTTGGGGATTGAACTGGACTAGATTTAGTCGCCCCCAATCCGAGACTTTGTTAAGCAAAGACTTCAGACACAAGTTTGTCCCGGTACTCAGCGACGTTTTCCCGAGAAATATTGGCACGGCCGGTATATGAGGCATCACCAGTGCTGTCGTCCGCATAGCAATGAATGCTACCAGTAAGCAACATATCATTGCAACATGCAGGAGAAACAGCGTTGGTGATAGCACGCAGCCTTGTGGAACACCAGCGTTGATAGGCTTGAAATCAAAGCATGCACCGTCTACTACGACCTTGATGCTCCGATCAGCAAGGAAACTGGTGATCCATTTGCACAATTTCTCGGGAAGCCCATAGGAAGGAAGCTTCGAAAGAAGCGCTTTGTGCCAGACCCGATCGAAGGCCTTCGCTATGTCCAAACCAACGGCCAATGCCTCCCACTTGGACTCTACTGCCTCCGCCCATCTATGAGTCAGATAGACTAGAAGATCATCAGCTGATCGACCCCGACGAAAACCGTATTGGCGGTCACTAATCTGGTACCTCATGAGCTGGCAGTTTATAATGGATTCCATTATTTTGGAGAACAAGGTGATGGCAATAGGCCTGTAGTTGGACGGGTCTGAGCGGTCGCCTTTTTTAGGGATCGGGTGGACCAAAGCTGTCTTCCATGAATTCGGGACTACACCTTGGGAGTAGGAGTACCGGAAAAGACACGTTAAAACTGGTGCCAACTCCGGCAAGCACACGTCTTCAGCACAATGGGAGGAACTCCATCGGGCCCACTCGACTTGCTGATGTCCAGGGAGAAGAGTGCTTTGCGAACCGAGTGCTGTGTAAACCGCACATCCGGCATGGAGCACTCACATCGCGGGATGGTCGGCGGTGTGTTCCCCCCGTCATCTAGAGTCGAGTTCAATGCAAAGAGAGAGCTCAACAGATCGGCTTTCTCCTTTGCGGCATGGGCCAGTGAATCGTCCTCTCTGTGCAGAGATGGAAGAGATGGCTGACAAAAGTTCCCTTGGACAGCCATGGCGAGAGACCAGAATGCACGGGTTCCCGAAGGAAGGCGAACTAGCTTCTCGCCAATTCTGCCGATGTGCTCAGACCTTACCTTGGAAATGACGCTTTTGAAGGACCTGGAGGTGGAATTATACTTCTTTTTAAGTGCGCTAGTGTTTACATCACGAGAAGTTGATGCGTCAGCCCAGGCCCGGTAGCACTCCTGCTTATAGCATGATGCTATTTTACAGGAGCGACCAAACCATGGATGGGATCTGCCTCCGATGGGCGCCACAGAGGATGGAATAAAAAGTTCCACCACCAGAAGTACCACATTAGCAACAGAATCGGCAACAACGCTGTGATCTTCCGGCGAGAAACAAACCCCAAGGGTAGGATGCAAAAAAAGACCGCATCCCGCCCCAATCAACTGAGCTATAGTGCCAAACGCGGCGGCAAGCTGCAGATCGAAACTGCGATTGGAGCGTGAGTGGCACCGTACTCCGGATCAGACAATGGTCCGAAGAGCCCAGAGGGCCATCGACGGAGACCTGATATCCGTCCGGATGAGAGATCATCAGAAGGTCCAACAGGGAAGATACATGATCCTCCACACCTGGGATCCGCGTAGGCGAAGTAAGCAGTTATATTAGACCATATGCCATGGCTAAGTCATAGACAGATCTACCCACATGATCGGTTAAACGAGAACCAAGCGATTCAGCGTGGTGGGCGTTAAATCACCGAGTATCACGATCTCTGCGGATGGGACCTGTTGTAGCACGGAGTCTGCAGCCATTTGGACGTGGTCGATGAGTCGGTCTGTGTCGGCATTACCGCTATGGGACCTATAGAGGCATCCGTAGATGTTGGGATGGTCGTCGCTGTCAGCCGGAGAGGACATCTGAGTCTCGGTTAAAAAGAACAAGGCCGGCTTCGCCGTCTTTAGATGGTAATGGACAGCGTTATGGTTGGAATGAAGTCCCCTGATGTTGCTCCGCTTGCCTCGAGCAGCATTAGTCGCGAGCCGAATTTTGCCCCCCCCCCCCCTCCCCTAGAAAACGCGGGGCAGCCTGAGCACCCACGCTCAGGAGTGAAGTAGTTTGGTCGTGGATGTTCAGCGAGAGATTCTCCAGGGGTGCTGGTACCCTCCTGGGGTAGTCTTTTATTGCATTCCACTACCATGTTGATGGGGGGGGGGACTTGGGCCTCCGGCCACCTGCACTCACCAAGCGCAACGCAGAGGTAAACCGGTTCGAGCTGGCCCATCCGTGCGACAGCAAAAGCTACCGCTTGCCTCTACTACTGTCGACTACATTGATGATGTTCTCATTTTATTTATATTAAAGTCGGTTGTACATTTTTACTTTTACCACTTGTTTCATGTATGTTACGCGATATCTTCGTCAATTGTAAACTGATTTGGATGATTCTTTTTTAATAAAATAGGTTATATTTTAGGGGTGGGGTTGGGACCCTGAAGTTTGTGTTTGGTGGCAAATTAGGGAAAGAAGTTTTTAATCAAACTATTTAAATGACATTTCTCAACCACTCAAAATGGTTATTAACTTTTTTATTTTTAAGTAAAATCTGACCTCCAAGAACTGTAAAATCATTTCACATCCTCAGGTCGGAATTTTAATTCCTCAATTGCACTATTTCTTAGCACTGACTTCAGAATGTGAAATTATTTTATTATTTTAGGTCTTCTTTTTTATACTAAAACTTAATTTTTTTATAGTATTCGCTATAAAGTATTCTAGAATCGAAGGGGATCTTCTCGATCTTTAGTCGTGGAAAACTGTGTGTTGGCATGCTTTATTTTCGTTTATCCATAAAACGTAGTATGCTATGGCTACCAAACAAATAAACAAAATTTCATAACGGTTGTTTATAGGCATTATTCCAAGTTTAGAGCCTATCAGTTTTAAATCTCATCAAATCTGCGCTCAGACCTTGCACGAATCTTAAGAAATTACAGATAACTAGTCATTCGTTATTGTCAGTAATTGTAAAATCAATCTACGTATTCATTATGTTTAACTATTCATACTAATCAACGTTTAACTACTAATTGATAATAAAGTTTTTACTAATTAACCCTTAAATGCATAGAATATTTATGACTATGAATTTAAAAATAAAAAAATTATGCATGATGCAGAAAAAGTTTCTTTATTATATAAAAAAATGTTAAAATAGTTGTAGTAATTTATTTTTTCATATAATATATTATATATCATGCGATGGATTTTTCCATCACTATGCACTTACAGTTAATATACATATAGGTAATTGCCATATTTGATATTAGGTAGTGTGAAACCTAGTAAAACAGTTATTATTTTTGTTTAGGCATAAATTTATGCCACATTTGGCACAGCTTATGGTGGTGTATCCTGTACAATGTGGATACTTACAACGAAGCGACACACCAACATTTGGCCAGTGCCCTAGACCATCCATCCGTATATCCAATGGAGGGATTGGTTTTGATTGTAACCTCTTCTTCTTAGCTTGCAACTCCTGCTCCAGGCTGGAAGAGCTAGGCCGACCTCTTTTATTTTCGTTTGTGCCTGAGTTACATAAAACATAGGCCAGCTCGTTTCTGAACTCACCTAAGTTTAAAATGTTCTTTTTTGTAACATTTTCTTTTATTGCATTATTTTTATATATAATCCAGGAGTTGATAACAGCCAGATCAAACAAATGGAAAAATATACGAATATACCATTTACGAGATTTTACTCTTATGTGATATCTACCCAAGAAACTATCTAACAAGTCAACACCCCCCATATGACTGTTATATTCTGTAATGGACTTTGGACACAATATATCAACTCTTTCCCTCGTCTTTTTATCAAACCTTTTGACGGTTGAAACAGGCTCTGTTCCTACGTAACTTGATAACATAGTCACTATTTTATTGTCCTTCCATGCTATGCAAGCTAAATCAACTCCCTCATATGACGCTGTTCTTTCTTCATAAGTACCCCTAGGGGTATTTTTTTTCATCATCTCTTTTTTGTCTGGTAGCTTGTTATTAGGAATTCTGTTTTGTTGAATTGTGCCAAGGCAATGTATTCCTTGCTTAGCCAAATAGATAACT